ATCACCAAAATGTATCAAACTATTTATCTGTTAATCAGGGGCTGTCCATAGTGTGGCTCCCATACCATCCATGTGAATGGTGACTTCAGCTGTATATGAAGTAATATTTTATTTATAACGTAACAGTGCCCTGCTCTTCCCTCAGAGCTGGGGAAATAAAGAGAACCTAAAGTTTCAACAAAATAATTACGGATAAGAATCAGAGCTCAGTACAATCCATGAACTTCTGACAACCGGCCATTTACCATGATCAGTTACATCTAAACCGTTCGACCGTGGAATCCTCACTCCGACGGCTCTGGATCAGCCCCATCCTCCAAGCTACCACCCTAAGGTCTCCACGGCAGTTCCAAGGCCATGAAGAAAAGCCTCTACAGTCAGTCAGTGTCCAGGAAGAGAAGGAGACCGGACTTCAGCAGAACGCCTTTTTAGTATTCTCCTAATTCTTTACTGCCTCTTGGAACTTCTGTTATCACTGTTGTCCCTGAAGCACCAAAACCCCCCAGACTGGCTATGGCACCCAGTCAAAGCCTGTACTTATCTCTCAGAGCCTTACACTATGAAATTATTCCTCTGCCACAGACCTGACACTCCCTTTTCAAAGGCTGGACTTGCTGGATTAAACAGCAGAGCAAAAACTAATTCATTGGGTGTGAGTGATCATCCCACATCACCCTCATCCTCCCAAAGAGTGTCTGAATTAAGGGAGTCATTATTTTAAAAGAAATGGTTAATTAGAGAAAGTTTATATGAAAGAATTTTAGGCCATATGGAGGCAAGATGAGAGCAGATGAGAGAGATCTGGGGGCTCATTTCCAGGCAAGCCCCCTCTGGGTGGTCGCAATCTGGAGCAAGGGTGGTGAGAGTGGGCTAACTCACTCCACTGACGTACAGTTTCCACCTCAAACCGTCCTAACCATCCTCATTTCGTAGAGCTATCTGCTCACAACTTTAGAGAAAATAAATTGAAACATAAGAAAACGTAATTCAACCTTCCAAACTGAACTGCTCCCCTGACCCTCACTAAAGGACACTTCTGCACCAGTCATTCATTCACCATCAGTACGGTGCCATGTTGGGGGATCTGTAGATTCCCCGAGATCCTACTTTATTCATATCACATTCTTACAACAATAGCACCACAAATACACCCAGAGAACGAAATCCAAAGCCCTGAAAGAGCATCCCAACTGGAGTCCCTCCTCCAAGTCACAGGAGCCCACCAGGTCACTTGTCCAGTGAGGTGCTTCAGAGCCCTGAAAACTTCCCTTTAAACTTCAATATGGAGTCCCAAATTCAGATGTCAGTAGATATAACTTTGAGAAGAGTGTATTTAAGAGTCAATGTAATACCCTCATTGCCTGCAGAGAACTTTATAAATGATCTGCTTTGAAAAATACCATAACCCAGAAACCAAACATGTCGTCTGTCTTCATACAGAAGAACACCAGAAGGTGATTTTATTTTGGAAACTAGAGCTGGCACTTACGGTATTTTTCTTCAAAGTTTTATAGTTGTCTTTTGTCACTTAATCCTATTATTAAAGAATTAAAGAAAATCAAAAAGATACCAATATATGACTGCAATTAGGTAGACAAGAAGGTAAAAAAAATAGGCTGAAAAGAGAATGCATGCCAATTCACCACATGATGGCAAACAGCCCTCAGACCATAAGTTCCTCGGAAAGTTCCCTGATACCAAGCAAAGAGGTTGAAAACAAATTCCTGATTTGGCAATTTCTCGAAAGTATTTTAAATCCATCTGGGATGGGCCCCCAATCCCTTAAAACATGGCTCACAATCACATCCCCCTTCAATGAACATGGCCTCCCTCCCACGGAAGAAAGGGATCTGACTTTCCATCTTCTCTTTCTCTCTCTCAAGCTCTGCCTATCCAACCCGCTCAGTCCCTGACCAGGTCCCTAAGAAGGAAATGCTCTTCCACCTCTCCACGTCTACAGCCTTCACCCATTCCCCTCTTTTCAGTCTTTAACAAGTCCAAGATTTCCTCTCCAGCTGAGAGGGGAGGAGGCACACCTTCAGGCCCTGTACTTAAGCAGCTCCTTGCACCTCAATCTGCCTATTTTTAACTCCCAGTCATCTAGTTTATTTTAACAATTCTATGCAAGTAAAGAAGGTCACTGTTTCCCAAAAGCCAAATACCAGTTGACCAACCTCTTTTTCTACGCCCATCCTTCCTGTTTCTGCTGGCTCCTCCTGCCCCCACCCCCACCAGGGGGAGTTCAAGGCTGTGGCTAGACCCTACAGGCTTTCCTCCCTGCAGCCTAAGTGATCTTCTTCAGTCTCCTCTGTAGAAATGACACCAGGAAACCAGCTCAGACCTTACTTTCCTTCCAGACTTCATCTATGCATCTCCAGCCACAAGTAACATTAAGCTCTTGATTTCATCTTCATTAGCCCTTCAGCTTCTCATTTGTCCAAAGCCAACCAAGTTCACCAGCGCCTTCCCAGGAGTCCCAGCCCACTCTTCCTCTACTGCCTCTTCACTGGCAGCCAGCTAGGGCTGCTCATTTTTCCATATTCATATTCCAGTCCTCCCCCATGACAGTCTCTGGTTTGCTTCTTCCCTAGAGTTCCAAAGTGACCATCATGTCCAGGATGAGATGTTCTAAGGCTCCCTCTCCCCATGGACCAGCACAAAGTCTCAACTCAAAGCAGCCTGGGAAAGGAAGGTGTCCAAGAAGGAAGGAGAGGAGGAGGGAAGCTCAGATAGTACCACTGTCCTCCATCTCACCTGCCACAGTACCTACTTGTCACCCTAGCTACCAAACCTTCCTTTTCATAAATTTCCGATGAGCCTTCGGGTTGAGACGGCCCCCTCCAACCTCTCCAATGAATCCATTAAATAAAGTCTTTTACTTCTTGCTCATAAGGAATCACCATTGTAGACATTTTAATCTAAGGATGCCAGTCCTTTAATGTTATTTTAAAAGACCAAACCAAAAACCCTTCCCAACCAGCTTCCACAAATTAACTGTGGCAAAGTATCTGCCCCCAGGGCCAAGAGCAATAATAATACAGGAGAAACACCTTCTATAGGAAAATATGTTTTCTGAAAGGAAAACGAGTAAAAACTTGACCAGGAAACGTAACTAACTAACAACTTGTGCCACAGTGTGTTTCTGGAGAGTCGCTTTCGTCTCATCACAGGCTACACTAGGAGAGCTGAACAATTTGATTCAGCTAGTTTCCTAGGAGTTATGTCAGTGCCGCTGCGGAATTGAAGAAAAGCTGCTTCCACACAGAGTCAAATTATGGAGTTGCAGGAGCGGCTGTTTTGTTAACCCGCAGCTAAGAATAACACTCGACTTGCCAAATAAAGGAAAAAAGAAGAAAGAAGACCAGCTAAGTCCCCGGGCTAAGTGTTTGGGGCTGGGGAGGAGAAGGGGGCTTCCTGCACTGATCCTCTTATCACTCAGGCCCTTAGGCCCAAGGCAATTGATGGGGGCGCCCGCCCCGGGAGGGCGGCAGTTTGCAGGTGCGATGGACCGGCCCCCACCCCCGATTAACCCAGGCTGGAACTCGGGCTCCGGTAATGGGTTTCTCGGTTTCCGGTGGGTTTGCGTTCACTCTTAGTTAAGGAGGCCGGGGCAGGTTCGAGACAAACCCGGGGAGAGGGCGAG